TATGAATGGTGCCTGCCTCTCTTCATTGTTAACGTCCTCAGGAACTTTTCCACTTGCTGCATTCCCTGAGTGCAGGTAAGTTAGAGATTTATACCCTATCTTGTAATTTCTGTCCCTTCAAATTATGTCTTCCTTTATTCTGTCTCGGTCATGAGCCTGCATAGTCATAGAATTTAACATCTATCCTAGCTCCTGTGTAGAAGATTTTTGCTTTTCTCCTGGCTGATTTTTAGTGGCTGTCTTTGGCTCCATTTCTCTCCTAGAAAAGGGAGTAGAGCATATTACAAGCAAAGCTCAACATCTCCTTTCTCTGGTTCATGGTGCAGTAAAGCATCCTGCTAAATAGCCATAATCTTATTTTTGCTGTTTTCCTCTACCCATTTCATTTTTGCCTTTTACTCTGATTTTAAAACTACTGCAAGAAATCCATAGATCTCTTACAGATTTGTTTTCAAACATTATATTTAACAAGCTTTATTTAGGTTGCAGCTGCCATGCTTCTACTTAGTAAATCAGCCTTGATGCTTCTCCTGATAATCTGTTTTCTGGGCCTTTTGAGAACGTTCTCTTATTTTCCTGCTAGTGACCAATGTATAGTTAGTTCTATACCACTTCTCTCTGCCATTGCATATTTTCCCCACGGGGAAGGCAATTCCCACAATCTCTGTGTGAAATAAGAAGCCTGGAAGCATTTTGTGCCAAATACTTGTTACGAAGACAGTTGTAGAACAAGACCTTGAAAGTGTGTCCATTGTTATCTGCAAGTTACCTGCTGCAATTTTGCCTCTTCCCAGTTAAAAGCACATTCTTCTAGAATAGCTTTTCTGTCCAATAACAGTGCTTTAAGAACTAAATGCAGGCACGTTGGTAGGCGTGATGGAAAATGCTGTTGCAAAATTCAGTCACGTTTGCTGTACAAAATGAAGTAGCCTTCTGTGGCATAAACTGTTAAAATAAATGGTTTGGTTTTCTCCATAAGAGAATAAGGCAGGACTGTAGTGAAGACTTGGTATACAGAAAAGTAATTGCGAGGCAGTGTGTCTCGTACGGAGCCATCTATTTGCTCCAAAAAGAAACTGCAAATGAAGACAAAGCAAGTGGGGCTCCTTATGGTACGTGTGTGATCCACGAGGGCTGCTGACCCTTTTGCTCATTTGTCTTTCAGTTCCCCTGTATACCTTTACTGTCTGATGGCAGTTGTAGTTCATCATGGAGACATGCATTCTGGACACTTTGTGACTTACCGCCGCTCTCCACCTTCTCCTAAGAACCCACGCTCTGTCAGCAGTCAGTGGCTGTGGATTTCGGACGACACCGTTCGCAAAGCTAGTTTGCAGGAAGTCCTTTCTTCTAGTGCTTACTTGCTTTTTTATGAGCGTGTTCACTCGAGGGTACAGCACCAAAGCTTGGAGTTGAGGGCTGAAGAGTCCTTAAGAGAGCAGAAGGACAAAAACTGACAAAATTCTTTTAATGAGATCTACGTTGCACTTCCTGTCTGTTATGCAAATAACCCACCATAGGCCCTTTAACTTTCCCCTCCTTCTATGGCAATGGCTGGCTCCTACTGGGCGTTGTGTTTTGTACCAAAATTACCTTACCCAAAGTTGGTCTGCTAATGTTGTGCAGTCCAAAATAAATCTGTATTAGATAAGCATTTATTCTGTTAGGTAGTAATTTTTGTCAACATCTCAGCTCTGAAACAGACATTTCAAACAGACTCCCCAAGGCTGTATTCCATATTCTGACAAGTATGTAAATTTTCAAAGGACGATGCTTAATCCTATACATTTCACTGCAGACGTTTCTGAACCCAAAAGCGGTTGATGGGAAGCTGCTGTTATCAAAGGCAATGATTTAAGAAACAAAGTGCCTTGAGCTTATTTGAATAGCTACATTATCATTGTCTGAGTTCACTGCCTGTCTGCTGCATTCTGCTACATCGTCTCAAGATGATGAGAAATCTGGAATCAGATTTCTCTTGATAGCCCAGCTAATCAGTAAAGTAAGGCATCTCTACATAACGTGCATGATCCAAAAAACGACTGCCCTGTTCACATAATTTTCCTCATACTTTAGTTCTTTATACATCATAGAAGTATTTCTGCTGATTCAAAGTGCAGTTTCCTTTTTCCAGGAGAAAAGATAGATTTTTTTCTTTTTTTTTTTTTTATAATCTATTAAGAGACCCTGATTTTTTGCTCTGCATCTTTGGAATATAGCAGAAAGCAAGAGACAGAAGTGTTTGCTAGCAGTCAGTATTGTAATTTCCCTCGTTACTGTGAAACTATTGAATATGGTTGCTTGTAGTATCGACTACAACTTTTAATGCTGTGATCTCAAGGCTACTGTAATTGGTGTTCTAGACTTGCCCTTCCTATTTTAATGCTGAAAACTGCCATTTCTCATCAACGGTTCAGATACATGCTGTCTGGCTTGCAACTGAACTTTAGAGCTTGTACCGGTTGTGACTGTGAGCTGAGATGTATAGGAACTCCAGCATCCTTGTCAAGTTAAGAGTATATGGGACTGAATCGGGGCACGCACTTACCTTGTGATAAGTGAAAAGACTGATGCCACTGGACTAGGTACAGATTGCCATATAAATAGAAGTAAGGTGTACTTTGCTGCTTTAGATTGTTTGTAGGAAAAAAAAACCCAAACAAATTGCGGATGGAGAAGTAGCAAAAATTATCCTTTTGACTGCTTTTAAATTACTAGGAATAAAGTATGTAGGTTATTCTTAGCTCTTTTCTATCCATGTAAGCTTGGAGGAGGAAAAAAAAGACTAATTCATCAGACAAGCTTTTGCAGTGTAAAACGGCAACTAAGTTTTCAAATGGTAACAACTGTGTTAAACAATAGGTGTTTTTGTACCTCATACATCCATAATCCTGCCTGAAGCTCATAGGTGTTCAGAGTTCCTTAGCAGGAGGCTCAAACCCATCCAAAATAGGAGTGGTAATGGAGCTTACGCAAAACTATTTACACAACTCATCATTCCAGAGTATGGATCACAATTCTTGCTCCAAGTAATAGTCTTTATAAATCCACTGACGCACTAGTTCCTGAGAAGTCTCCCTGTCTGTGCTAAGCTAGCAGTAGCATGGTTTTAACCTTTCTATTTTAAGTTATGGAGAAACAACAAGAAAAACAAACAAACAAAACCCCTAGAAGGATGCAAAATGCCAAAAATGCCCTGGCCATTGAACTAAGACCTAAGGGACTTGCAGAAGGTGAAAGCCCTCCATTCTGGGCAGCGCAAGTGTGCAGTAGGAGCTCTGTAAAGCTGTACTGGGTGTCATCTAAGAAAAAACATCATGCAAAGCATCTAGCTCCAGCAGGTCTACCATTTGTACCTCACAACTTCAACGCATTTCCACTGCCAGCAGTGTATATTCTGCAATACCTATTCTAAACAGGGTCTGTTTAGAGTTTTTAACTGAATTTTTGAGAAGTTCACCTGAACAGGTCACTTTGTTTAGAAAGCAGTAATGCTGGAGGCGGGTCAGAACATACACACCCAATGGACTGTCTTACATTTATCAGCTTGTAACAGAGACATAAAGCCACACACTACTGCAAGCTTGCACGTTCAGTGTATTTTTCTTTTGCTTAGAGCTGCTTTCCAACAGGGGCCAGTTTGATCAGAATGAAAGCACAGTCGCTGCACAACACTGCACTGCTTAGTTTCACCCAGCTGCAGATTTACTCTGAAAGCTTCCTCAAAGGGCTATGAAGATGATGGTTGAGTAGTCAGCATTTGTTCTAGCTTTCAGTTAGGAAGGAGTAGACGGTCTTGGCTTAGCCCTCAGCTTGAGGAAGGAAGTATCAGCATCTCAGTCCTGGTCCTGAGCCATGCTAGATACTCCCAGCCTACTGTGAGCATCAAAGACCTCTGCAGATGTTTGCCACCCAACCCTCACCTTCTGAAGTCACTGGGCTCTGTGCAGGCACATGAGGCTCATCAAACACTGTTACTTGTTACTCACAAGCTTCCATGGTGGAGAAGGTGTTAATACAATGTAAAAAGCTAAAAACCATCAGATAAAACCTCCAAGATGGCATCTCTCTGTTTGGGTTATTCTTGTCTTATTTTGTGCGTTATTTAAAAATGTATGATATTATAGTCAAACTACTGCACTGCTGTTTGAAGTTGTGTTTTCACTTCAGGGTATTTTTGTAACTGTACAGTAGCAATAAAAGAATAAACTTACTAGAAAAAGTAGCTGTTCATGTGTGATAATGTCTTAAAACAAAGACCCAGCTTTAAGCCAAACCCTATTTGGTATATGCGACAGAAGCAGCACTTCACATTCTCTGGATAAGAAGCATTCATGCAGGAGCTCTTCATGCTACATATAGCATTTTCTGGTCATGGCAGAGGGTGGGAAGTACCAACTCCGAAGTGTCTAAACAGACGTTAATTCCATAGCCCTAACGAGCCTACCGCTGAAGGATAGAGCCCATCGCTAATTCAGATGCTTGTAGCCTGGTTGCGTGGGGATCAGTTCACATTCTTGCTCAGTACTTACCGTTGCTTGATTCTGCAAGACCCATTGGTGACTTTGGACTGTCTTTCCTCATTTCAGCAGGATTCACTGTCAGCATGGAAGGTGATGGCTTTCAGGTAGTCAGAATGGCATCCCTAGGGATAATTATTTAGAAAAACAGACACTCTCAAAAGTTATAGCCTTCCACAAAGCATTGTCCATATAAATGGCCCAACCCAGTCTTTCCCCAAAAGGTCACCTTGTGCTGCCTGGTTTCTGTACAGACAAAGGACAGAAGGTAGAAGAAGCCCTCTCCCTGTGCAGTAGCACCTCGTGGTGCTTCCTCCTGCCCCACCACGCTACTGACTGAAAGAACCCAGTCACCCACGTAAGCAGAGGAGGTAGAGCAGCAGAGGAATATGTGCAGACAAAAGTCATTGTGACTGTAAAACATGCAGCCAGCCATGTTGCACTCACTATATTCATATCTTAGCATTCCTTTTTTTCACGCCAGTCTCATTTGTATTTTATTTTTAAAAAACAAGCTCATTGACAGAGCATACAAGAAAGCGTCACCAGTTGAACAGCAGCAGCTTTAAATGATTACATCTTGTACTTTATAGTGTTTATAAACTGTTTCACAACTCTCTCGAGGATCTAGAGTATTTTGATCTTTTTGGAAAACTGGCTAGATTAAGACCAGTCAAGAACAAACTTCCTCTTGAGAAAAACAAGGGTATTACTCATTAAAAGTATCTATCAGCAGGACTACAGCAACATTTCACAGAGAGAAAGTATTCTTGGCATTTAAGATCAGTAGTCGCAGTCTTTCTTAGCAAGTTACCAAGTACGCTATCTCCTCTCCTGGTTTAATTTGCTCATCCAGTACTTTGGATCATCAAAGACTGTTTGAACAAGGAATAGACAGTTATGTTGGGAAAGAAAGTCTCTACTTTTGGAGTCAAAAGACCTGGTGCTTGATTGCGGAATATTTCACTTCTTGGCTATAGTCATCACTTTCCGAAATGTGAGGTTGATTCTTGGGGCAAGTACTCTCTTGCGGATGGGCAGGCTGTGGTACCAATACACATTGGTGGGGTACTTCATCATCAGCAGGCTACCATGGGCTAGCTGCAGTTTGATGGGCTTAATGTGGCGCGTTGCGTTTTTCCCTCTGGAATCACAGTGCCTGAAAACAAAGTCCCTGCAAGCTCCGAAGGACACAGATGCAATAGGACTGCGTGGAACCAGTTCTCTCTCATCATCTCGATGTTCACCTATGTGGTCCCCACCATCTTTGTATCTGTACACAGAATAGATTAGTTAGTTCTTCTACCAATCCAATTAAATGAGCGTCAAAACAATTCCTCAGTGATCTGTCAACAGTGTTGCACAAGCAATTTTTCATTTGAACAACAAGTTGCTTGATGCAATTGGAAATCAGGCGTACCTGTTAATAAGAACAAAATTAAAAGTATGTCCTGTGTCCAAAGTGATGCGGTCTCTGATACGGGTGAGAACTGGGATCCACGGCTTAGGAGAGAAGGTAACACCCGAGTAAGTGTATGTTATCTCAGGGTCTCCATAGGTTACCTGCTTCCTTGGAATGTCATGCCATTTGCCAAACACGTGCAATTTTGTCATTTCACCTGTTGAAACAAGAAATGAGAAGGATCAAAACCAACTCTGTATTACCTTTGCACGTTTCAACGTTCTCCTTGATTTGGAGCTTCTGTGAATCTCCAGTGGGACAAGAGAAGTGAGGATGCTTATGACAACCCAAAAGCTGTCATCCGTGTTCAAGTGTTTCAGCCCCAACAAAGCACTTAGCACTCAAGTCTGACGCTGCCTTACTGTCCCCCTTGAATGGGATGGATGGGACTAGCACCCCCATCGTATTCTGTTGTTGAATTAATGTGACTGGGGATATCTCATATACTACATGTACCAACAAACTCCTGTCACCATTCCAGGATTACCCCGGTTTCTCTTAAAAATTGAAGGGAACCACTTGACAAACGCTTCAAGCTAAGCAAAACTAAGCCTGCAGGATCAGACCTGTGCTTGTCCTCTTCTCAGGGCCAGGTTTTGCAAACACCAGGCACCTGCAGAAACCTCTCCACCATCTGGCAGCTCTGCCCAGGCCACGGGAATCATTCCGGGACTCGCCTTGGGCGGACCGGGCAGGGAAACACTTCACCGG